TATAAGATAAGTGATTGTGAGAAATTTAATGACTGTGGGGTATTTGTAAGAAATTATGGGAATTAGAGGCGTAAATATGATACGGGATTGGCCTAATAAGTCGTAGATTTTGTGCCTTTATCGTCGTAATACCTTAGGAATAATTTAGGGATGTTTTTGGGACATTGGGGAAGGAAATCGTATGGACCTATGGACTGACTTTGCTACTGTTGCATAGCAGCGATTTGCTGTAATTGCAAGTTCGCACAGCAAATGATGCTTCGCACGACGAACATTCGCCCTAGACTCGTACGGTGAACTTGCCAGCGAACGTAGCAAAGTTTCGCGAATTATGTTCTGGTTCAGTGATGTCTTGATGTTTTGATGTTGTGGTTTTTCTGATGAATTACCATGAGTGTAACTGTGATTCCTATGTGATTAAATGAATGTATGATGATTACTATGAGTATAACTGTGATTTCTATGTGATTAAATGAATGTATGATGAATTACTATGAGTATAGTTGTGATTCCTATGTGATTAAATGAATATATGATGAATTACTATGAGTATAATTGTGATTCCTATGTGATTAATACATGATCGTATGATGAGTACCCATGAGTATAATTGTGATTCTTATGAGATTAATACATGATTGCATGATGAATCCCCATGAGGGACTGTGATAATTTGTGACGTTGATTCCATGAGGTTTTGATGATTCTATGATGACGTGATTCTTATGATTATTTTGATGAATGATGATGCACCTAATGAGATTATTATGAGGATGATATTGACATGTGCATCATGCATTCATATGCATTCTGGACTTCGGTTTAGGACCTTGATTCTTGTGGCTTCAGTCTCATTGTGCGAATGTGAGGTATTTTGTTGTGCTCCAGTTCTCGTGTAGAATCGATCCTACTGTTGTGAAACTATGGAGGGTTGATGGCCTAGTGTCCATCGAATTTTATTGATTGGTACCACATGCACGAGTCTTGTTGCATTTGCATTTATGTGACAATTTGGTGTAATTTATAATGTTGTGGCCTTTGATGTTCCTTGATGATTATGAGGATGTTGGATATGAAAATGACGCCATTTTATATATTGATTCCTATATTGATTATTATGAATCATTTTACTCACCTTGTCTATTTGAATGTTACCTCCACGTGGGTAACGTGCAGATGACCAAGTTTAGCCGTGGATGTCGTCGAGGACTTTTTGAAGTTTTTGGGTCATTGACCATTTGTGGTTGACTTAGAGGGTCTTGCTCTGATAGTGTAACATCGGGTTGGGGTCTTTTGAGTTGAACCATGTTTTATTGATTATTGTTATTTTGATTATGTTTTTATGCAAGGAAAACTTTGGATTTGCCTTTTTGAGTTCCGCTGCCATTTGAGCAATTTTTGAGTAATTTTGGGAAAACCCGTTGTTTACGCAGCATTGACTTTGATTTGAATGATTGAGAAATATACGCCCTTTGAGGTGATTTTTATTATGTTTAAAATATTACTCTGATAAATGCGAATGATTTGCCATTATATTTCTGGGGTAGAAAAGGGTGTTACAGCCAGGGCTACTTCCGCATATAAATGATCTCTCCATCTTTGAGCATTTGATCCGGCCAAATTTTCTCCCTCGAAACAATCATAGGAAAGTGAAAATGCTCCACTTGATTCAAAGCATCTCAAATGAATATTGCCTCAAGTGTAACTCTCGTAGAGTTAGCCAACTGTTGAGTTAAAGAAGCGTTGTGAAGGCCCAAAGACTTAAGTTCCCTCTGAGCAGATGACAAGTAGCCCCTGGAAGAAACATGAGCCCAGTTATTCCTTACCACTATCCTCACTACATGGCTCACATGGTTGGTAAGATATCCAACAAGATTAAGGGGGAGAAAAACATCCATCATCGCGGTAAAAGAGGTAGAAGTCTTCTCTATTTCCTGCATGTGTTTATCGTGCTGAAGCTTTAGATCACGAACGCTCTTCTCCATCTGTTGCTTTTTAGCATGGTGTCGATTACACAAAAGAGCGCCCTAGTGGCCAGCTCCTCCAAGAGTCAAAACTCCATAGGCACGTCAGGCATACCGAGCCTGAGTTTCTAGTTCTTCCTTAAGAGCGGGCCCAAACAAATTTGCAAGTAAAAGTAACCCTCATTCGAAGGAGGGGGTCGCTGTCCTCTGGAAGAATGGGTGTTGGACCCCATCAAAAGTGGATAAGCATTCAGACATGTGATACTCAGTAAAGTCGAAAGGGTCTCTAAAAAAGGGTTAATTTCAGGCGGATGTATTACCCACCTTATAAGCAAAAACTGTACTTCATTCTTCATATGATCTACACACAATTATGGTTAAAATAAATACGTCATGAATAGGCAGATTAAACACAAAAGTGCTTAAAGGTTCTAGGATATACCAATGATGTATTTTCTCTCTTCCCAAGGACGGGTTTCTAACGAAAATTAGGCATCAATAATATGCTGCAAGCTTTCTTATCAACCTTTTCTGCGTGGGTACCTCCTCCAAAGTATCTCAGGTCGGTGATAAAGCTCATCAGTTCTTTCTTTTGATATTGAGCCTCATCAAAAATATATTTTTCCTTGTATACATAAAAAATATTTCCCATAATAAAGTGACTTTCATTCAAGTACCTGGGAAACAGGTCGACACATATTCCATTCACTTTGTCTCCAATGAAGAAAAGTGTAGCATGAGTTTCGGGGCCAATGGGGTGACAAAAAAGAACTGGCCCTCAAAAGGCTATAGCTCAAGAAGATACCCAAAGCGACAAATGGGTGACTCTAAATAGATTAATCATTTGCCCCACATCCAATTCACTGGGCTACGACGATATTTAAAGAGATGGAAGAAAAAGGTCACAGAAGAATTTCCTTTCAGATACTCACACTAATACTAGTATACCTTCATGTACATCTAATTTGTTGGATGGAGTTGTGAATGAGCCATCGCCCGATGCTTCAAGACTTCTATATCAAAGAGGAGACAAAGATCTAGGACAGAGAAAGTAAACTCATAAAAGGGAATGTCGCAATCATCATACTTACTACATATTCTTTCATCCTCAGTGGGACTCAAGACTCCCCAGTAGGAAGATGGACCGACTTCAATAAAAGTGCCATCAAGATCACCTACTTTCGCGAAGATGGTTATGGATGGAATATTGATCTAAAATGTGGAATTCATAACCACATTTTACCTGATAAATTAGAAGTTCAGTTGTTTGTTGATCGCCTAAGCGCAGGGGAGCAACAATATGTTGTTGATTTGACAAAGCGCCATGTTCCACCCAGACACGTATTATTATCCTTGCAAAAGTGAGATCTAGAGAATGTTACTCGGATCACACAAATATATAAACATAAAAGTAAGTTAAAATAGAGATAAGAGGTCCTATAACTGAGGTACAATTTTTTTTAAGTTGATAGAAGATGTCGATTATGCTTACTGGAGTAGAAGAAGAGATACAAACAATTGAGTTCTTTTTTCGAACGTTTCTCCTGAAAATAATTTAAAATATATTATAAAATATAAAATTAAAATTAAAAATTATTCAAAATAAAATGGATGAGATTTACTTACCTCGTCGTATCATAAAAAGCAATGTAATGCTTGTACTTTACTAGAAGAGACGTATCGTACAGTTCTCCTAGAAATTGTGGCAGTTGTAAAACAGATGGACTTACATGCCCATCCTCAACATCATTTGCTTGTCATGCTCCCTGTCTTACATCTTTCTGTCGTATACCTCCACGAAAAATAATCTGATTGTCACATCCTCGAGTTCATACCACTAGCAAAAAAAAACAAATTAAATAAATTTTGAAAAAAAAAACAAAAATGGATGCCTATCACCAAACCTTAAACCCTGGTGGCTAAAAAATCACCTCGGATAACATGGGCAAAGACATCTGGTAGTCTTTTTCACTTCACTGGATGTCTTGCCTCAATGTTCTTCGATGGGTTATTGTTAAAAACAATACTGAATGGCTTACTTGCAAGACTTTCATTGGTAATTTTGAAGATTAGAGAGAATTTGAATGTAAGTTTTCTGAGGAACAATGTGTATATTGGATAACTTGAAAGTGAGACTCTTGGTGCAATGACTTATGTTTGAGTTTTTGAGGATCAGAGGATTAGGATCAAAGACTTCTCATAAAAAAAAATCCACACTCTCAATTGCTCTGAGAACTTTTGATTAGATTGAGGGAAGTACAAATTTTAAAAAATAAACTATTTGTACATAGACATTTTTGGTCTAAGTTTGTTTATCGTAGAAAATTTTTGTTCACATTCTACCAATTTTTATAGAGTTGGGATCCTCTCCATTTCTTTGTCCCTCTATTTTCTCCATGACTATAATTTTTATGTATATAAAATCAATTAAAAATTAATTATATGTCACATGTATTAAAAATGTGTGTTATTTACACACAAAACTATAGTAATGGAGAAAATGGAGGGACAAAGAAATGGAGAGGATCCCAACCCATTTTTGTGGTTAGGCCAAATCCATATAAATATTTACTCTAACTTTAAATAGATCACTAATGACCTTTACTCTAACTTTAAATGACCACCGAGTAAACCGTGAAATTGATCTTTTTAAATTAATATTTTGCAATGTCAAGATTATTAAAAAAAAATTCACATGCTTTCCTACTAAAGAGCACAAATACTTCTATGAACAAAGAATAGAATGCAACTTGAGACTTAAACACTGAAACACCCAATCAAAGAGCTCAGAATAAACTCTCAATAGAATAGGTGTTTGCTGAACCAATGAGATAACCTTATCCGTCAATTTCCAATAAAGAAGCTGCCACATCAGATGCATGCAAATATGCAGAAAATTTCCACCTCCCATTCCATGCTTGCCTCCATCCCCTTTCCACTCAAAATCACACCAAACCCATTTCATGACTATACACTATGCTTCAAACAAGTTAGCATCTAGTAAGGGAAAAAGGAACAGCCTATAGAAACAGAAAAATGGCTTCCACTTCTTCAGTGTCAATGGCAATGCCACTAACATACACCAACCAGAAGAGGGTGGTGAATGGATCTGAGGCATTCTTCAATCCACTGCCTCTACGGTCTTCAAAGGCTGTGACATCATCAAAACACGGTGGAAGATTTCAAGTCAAAGCCTCCATGAAGGAAAAAGTTGTGACGGGACTCACAGCGGCAGCATTGACAGCTTCAATGGTGGTTCCTGATGTGGCTGAAGCAGCCGTTTCACCTTCTCTCAGGAACTTCTTGCTCAGCATCGCAGCTGGTGGAGCTGTGGTTGCAGTTATTATTGGCGCTGTCATCGCTGTATCCAATTTCGATCCCGTCAAGCGAGGCTGAAAGTGGCCTTTTGATCTTTTATCATGATTTGTATCTGTAAAGTTCTTCAGTAATGAATTGAACTCTCTTTGTGTGCAAACTTATATGCGACCCTTGAGCAGAAGCTTCATAACTATTAAAATTTAATATTCAAATATGAAGTATAAACACAGCTGACAGAAAATTAAAAAGGATCACACATTAAGTAGAATAATAGTTTGATAACCATAACGTGATTACACAGATGATGTAGTAATCAATAATCACTAATCAATAATCACTAACAGTTTTTTGGGTAAATATTCTATGTGACACGTGTGCGCTAATGCCAACAGATATGGCTCACTACAAGAAAATAAGCTGAAACCAAGCTACAATTACTTCCTACCGAACTTGGAAATCAAATCAAGCATGTATCTACTCTCTGCAGAATAGTTCACCTTATCTGCCTTAACTACTGTGCTCTTTACCTTCTGTTCTTCCCCATATAATTCCTCTTTGATTTTCAGCCTAAATACATAGTGATTGAAGAGTCTACTCTTGACTATATCGCCAAACCTTTCATCATCCTCCTGTTCATACTTCAGTGTATACAGCTCTTTTGCTGGGTACCCCATAATCTCTTCTCCTCCTTCCTGGAAAGCAGTTACCCAAGTTAATCCAGTATGATCCTGAATTTGAGCTTGGAGAAGGTACCGATAATCGCATTCCTCGAACTCCTGGTTGCATCTATCACATTGCCATCTTGTGTCTCCTGACCTTGTCACTTTCTTATTGCATTGTCGATCTCCAATCATCAGAGGGCAAGCTGTGTAACAAAATGTATCAGTCTTTATGAATGATATGGTTGCCCTTATTGTTATCCAGTCCGGCTTGTCTGAACGCCCCAGTCCTTCGTCTTTGATTTGAGACACAGTTTTGCGTATCTCATTCTTCGGTCCTCCGTGAGTAATGTCCTTAGAAATGGATAGAGAAGCAGAATCTTTTCCAACTTGATCAAACCAGGCTCGTAAGCTTTGAGCCTCAGGGAAATCTGGATTTATGAAAAGCTGCGTAGTGGAAATAGAGCCTATAGACTTTCCACTGAATTCATTCACCTTCCCAGCCTTTACCGCCAAAATGGGGAAAACACCAGAATCTACCATCTCTTGCAGCTTTTGTCCTTCCCTGTTGCAGAATTCACCCCAGAGTGTTAGCTCAACACTCCTGCCAGAATTGTCCTTCAGATTCAAAATCCTTCGCAGTGTTTCCATTCCATTCTTCCTTAAGATGGGAACTGAAGGATTCACAGATGTAACAACCCCAATAACATCAAGGATAGCATTACTCTCGACATTCTCAATGTCACTGATAGGCCGGAAGGAGAATTGCTGTTTAGGTATCGAACCATCCTCGTCTGGGCAAAGCTCAACTGTGGAATTTAAATCCAGCATAATTTCCCATTCATTCTTCAAATGGTTGAAATTCTTCTGTGCAGGTTTCAAGTTACCTTTGGATATCAAGTAAACTTTGCCAACCTCAATTGTATCATAGAAGCGGTCAACAATAGCATTAAAGCATGTTACACGGATTTCACCACCATCAGAATCAAGGAGATCAAACGAGAAGACTTTTCCATCTCCACGAGCATTGTTATACCGGCGCAAATCCCCTTTAGCAGTAACTCTTGCCCTGATTGCCCACCTACCTTGATATGGATTTAAAGCAGCTATCGGTATTGTACGTGCCGGCGCCTCGTTCTTCATAACAGCACCACGGCCTTTGTAAACCGGAGGAGGTTTGTATGAAGGTTGAATTGTTGGCCTGAAATTCTGCACATTAGTACTACCTGTATTTTGAGCAGCCAAAATATTACCATTATTATTATAAGTGTTATTAATATTATTGTTGTTGATCGAACTCCCCACAGTGTTATCACGCAATGCTTTCTGAACTGGTAATTCTGAATCCACAAATGGCTTTGGACTTCCAATGATCTCACAATCAGGTATTATGGATTCCATGTTGAGGACCATAATAATCCTGCGCAAGGAAAAAAACACAAAATCACATAAATCAATTGTACAGAATAAAATTAAGCCTAAAGTGAATTATGCTACAATTCATCAGTGACATTCTTTTAACTCTTTAACATCCATATGCTAGGATTTCCAATTTCATCAACACCAATGGTTTACCAAAGAGACACAAGAAGCCAAAGGTTGTATAAAATAAATGTATCTTCTATAACATTTTAACTCTAATAATTTATCAGTAACATTCTTTTAACTCGTTAACATCCATATGCTAGGATTTCAAATTTCATCAACGAGGTTACATTTCCACTAATAATTCCCTGAAGAGACACACGAAGCAAAAATTTATATAAAATAAATAAATCTTCTATAACATTTCAAGTTGAAAAATGGAATGACACATTGACATTCACATAAAATTTAAATTGCAATAATCTTAATTCAACCAACTATCACAAGAAACTAAAACTAAGTTCAACTAACACATTTCATCGATGAGGTTCCATATTTTAACTCTTACACTAATCTTACAAATGCAACTTCTAGAACGTTTTAGCTTTATAAATCGGTTGGCCTAAAATTTGAAATGCACATAAAATTCAAATTGCAAAAATCTTAATTCAACTATCACAAGAATCGAAGTCGGAGATGGCACTTCAACAGTCAAAGGGGGATCATATGTTTTTAACATGCTATTTGAAATCGCATACTTACACCAGCCCCAAATGCAGTTAAAAATTAGGTAATGTTGACGAATCTTCCGATTCCCTAGTTTCAATTCGACAAGTACCAACAGGTCGAAAAAGACAAAAAAAAAAGGCCTTGCATACTCAAGAAGTCAATAGAAACCACTCTTACTAATGATATTCATGTTAGTTCAACTATCACATTTCATCAGTGAGGTTCCGTATCCTAATTCTAACACTAGTTCTTACAAAGTTACAAATGCAACTTCTAGAACGCTTTAGACTTCAAATTGGAATGACCTAAAAAGTGAAATTCACATAAAATTAAACTGCAATAATTTTAATTCAAGTTGAACTATCACGAGTAACTAATACTTAATTCATAAAGTTCCATATCCTAATTCTCACAAGTGCAAGTTCTAGAATGTTCTAGGTTTAAAACTGTGTCGACCTAAAAAGTAAAATGCACATAAATTTCAAATTGCAACAATCTTAACTCCTCTATCACAAGAAACTAAAACTTAGTTCAGCTATCACATTTCACCAACAAGGTTCTATATCCCAATTCTTACACTAATAGTTACAAATGCAAATTCTAGAACATTTTAGGTTTAAAATTGAAATGACCTAAAAAGTGAAATGCGCATGAAATTCAAATTGTAAAAATCTTAATTAAATTATCACAAGTAATTTTCTAAAGCTTAGTTCAACAATCACATTTCATCAACAATGTTTCATGTCCTAATTCATACACCAATTCTGAACATTCTAGGTTTAAACTTAAACTGACTTAAAAAGTGAAATGCACATAAAATTCAAACGGAAACAATCTTAACGTGATTATAACAACATAAATTTCTCAATCCAACGTAAAATTTAACACGAAAGGGGAAACATATACTTGCGATTCTGGAATAAAGTGCATATGTAATCGAGAAGCTGAACGATGGAGCCACTCTTAACACGTCCGGTGGTGACTAGGTTGTTGAGTTGAGCAGCGAGCATAGCGTGGTGAGAAGAAACGGCGTCGGAGAGAAGAACGCGGTATCTCTGCTGCTGAGAGTTTTTGTTACTTACAACTGATGAAATCTCGAGAATTTGTAGCAACGGTTTCGCGTTAACGTCGCCGCTGATTATCGCCGGAATAGCGTTCGCAGTGAGATTCACCGACATGGTTGTTTGGTTCCGATTTGCTATTCCAGAAGAAACTATAACCAGAAACGGAAAGTTGGAATGTAGTAGTAATTGGGAACGAGATTTCGTTAAATAGAATGAGTTTCACCACGGGAGTGAACCGGAGATAAAAAGCCGGACCGGATTTGCTAATTGGAAAATCAAAATCAGTCAAATTATTTAATGATATTTCTTTATATTGATCTTTTAAATTAATTTAATGTTTTGTTTAAAAATATTTTAAGTTAGTCTCTTAATTTCACTTTTATTATCTTATTTAGTTATTTTCATCAATTTAAAAAAAAACCGTTAAATTCTCGTGACGTAGTGTGACAACAAGGTCATTAGTACAAATTTGAGTCAACATAGGTAGATGAAAACTGATACACTATTTAAACTGTGAGGTTTTCTGAAAACAAAACTCCTTGCTGTTTAAACGGGGCATTAGTTTTTAACTACATATGTTTACTCATATTTGTACCAATGGTCTTGTTGTCACGTCAAGTCATTAGAACTTAACGTTTTTTTGTCAGAAATTGACGAAACAGACTAAATAAGGTAACGAACGTGAAGTTGATGGACTAACTTGTAACATTTTTTAGTTATGAAACTAAAACAGAACATTAAATTAAGTTAAACGACTTGGTGACTAATTATGCCAACTATAAAAAAATTGACTATTAAATAATCATATTTTTCAATCCTCATTGACAATTTAATATTCATATTTAGGTTAATAGGTTTTTTCTCCATGCCATATGGGCGTCTTTTGAAAAATCATTGTAAAAAAAGTTTAGATTTCATCATCAACATATGAAAATTCTCACTTTTGATCCTTCATTAAGTTCAATCAGCGGAATCTTTGACAATCTGTAATATTTTATTATTTTTTTAATTAAAATAAAAGTCAGTGACATTTGTTTGTGGTTAAAAAGTAAGTTTTTCAAAGAATCCTAGTTGACCCACAGTAAATACACTAATTTATCCTAATCAAAGATTAACTATGTGAAATAAAAAAACCATAATTGAAGAATCATCTTCCTCAAAACGTAAAAGTGAGAAAACCTCCATTTTCATCCCTGCATTTGAAACCCTAAAATCTCGGCCACTAAACCATATACCACTTTTGCACCCTCAATCTCAATCCAAGTGCCTTGTAATCACGTTTCGTCCAAGGTAGATCCATTATTCGTCGTTTTCATAGTTGTTAGACTGACATTTTCATTTCCCTGAAGACTTCGTTCAAAGTTTCAAAAGGGTGTGATTTTTAAAACAGTCATTTACTGTCGTGGTCCCAATTTTTCCTTTACTTTGTTGTGGTCCCAAACTTTTCTTTAAAATTGTCAAACTTAGGTTTTCACCATGGAGTAAATTTAAGTGTTATATGAGATTACATTGTGTAGATTAAGTGTTTTAACAATTGATTATGTGTTTAATTTCAGAAATGGGCCTACTTTATTTCATATTTCATCATGCGGGTCAATTTGTGCATGACAAGTTCATGTTTTACAGGGGTGGGAATGAAACAATCATTCAAGGCTAAGATCTTGATATATGGAGTTACTTTGAGGTTGTTAGCTTAGTTAGAGATTGGGGCTATGATGAATTTAGACTGTGGAGAAAAATTCCAAGAGTTAATGAAGGTTATTTCCACTTTATTGATGACAAAGAAGTTGTAGAAGTTGTCACACATTGCCTTGCTAATAATGTGGATGGTCAGATATTGGTTGAACACGATATTGAAGATATTCTAATCAAAGTTTCTTACCCTAATATTTTTCATCTTAGCCAATGAAGTGATTATAGCATCAGTGATGGTAGTAGTGATGTTGATAGCATTAGATTTGATGATCGTGAAGAAGAAAGAACAACGTAAAGAAATGAAGGTTTTGTGAAAGTTGTAGTAGATAAACCTACATAAGGTTCAATGGCTGAGGTGAATGGCAAGTCACTCTGATACAAGGTAAAGGCTAGAAAAAGCAAGAAGAACTCAAATTCCTCATCAAATGTCAACCTTTTTGTTCGTGTAAAACTATTGGATTCTAGTTCAGAAAGGAATCCTAATAATGTTTTAAGAGAAGATGTTGATCATGTTAGTGAAGAATTGGACAACTTTGACCCTGATGATATTGTCAATGAAAATCTTCCCAAGTATGAAAAGTTTAGAGGTGAGTTGATGAGCAAAAACTTCCAATTTAAGCTAAGTATGGAATTTAATTCTTTAGGAGAATTCAAATATGCTACTAGAGAGTTGTTTGTTCTTAATGAAAAAGAGATAAAGTATGTTAAAAATGAGAGTTATATGGTTAGGGTAGAGTGTATGGGTAAATGTGGATTTTTTGGCATTGTATAGTAATGTGGGTGATAAACACACCTACCAAATAAAGACATTGATTAGGACACATACATGTGATAAGGTTTTAAATAAAAAAATCAGCTAATTCTAAGAGGGTATTCAAGCTAGTGGTGGAAAAAGGAAGTCAATAGGGGAAGGTTAAGGTTTCTGAAATAATGATTGAGATGAGGGTGAAGTATTTTGTAGGTATCACAATGGGGAAAGCATAGAGAGATAGGTGATTGGCTGATGAAATCATTGAAGGAGATTCCAAAAGAAAATATCCTATTTTATGGAGTTATGCAACTGAGCTAAAGAAACATTGTGATGGGAATACTGTAAAAATTGATGTAGAGATACCTTTGCCGATTATTCAACCAATATTTTCTAGGTTTTAATTCTACTTTGACGGATGTAATAAGGGTTTTACTAAGATTCGTAGGCCTTTTATTAAAGTATATGGTTTCCATCTTAAAATAAAGTATGGTGGTCAATTCTTGGTGGTTGTGGCTAGGGATCCAAATGATCAATATTATCCCTTAGCTTTTGGAGTTATAGAGACTGAAACAAAAGAAGTTGAAAATGGTCCATGCAGTTACTTATGGAAGATATTGGTCAAGAAATGAAATATGTGTTTATATCTGATCAACATAAGGTTTGTTCATATAATCTCCTATAAGTGTTTTATCATCGTTACTTTTGTTTCAAACGTATAAAGTTACTACTGTAAATGCAGGGACTTGTTAGTGTTTTTAAGAAATTTTTTGAACAAATTGAGCATAAAATATGTCTTAGACATTTATATGCCAATGTTAAGAAGAAGTTTGGTGGGGTGCTACAATAAGGGATCTCTTGATGAGAGCTGCCAAAGCAACATACTTTTAATCATGGGAGAAAAAGATGACTGAGTTGAAGTAGTTGGACAAGAAAGCATGGGATTGGCTGATGGGAGTTCCAATAAAGTTATGGTGTAAGCATTCTTTAAAGTTTTTATCCAAAGTGTGATATGTTAATGAACAACCTTAGTGAGTCATTTAAAAATACAATTTTATAAGCTAGGGACAAACTAGTACTCATTGTGTGTGAGTGGATTAGAAACTACTTGATGAATATGGTTGTTAGTAGTTTAGTTAAGCTTGACAAGTGGAAACATAATGTATGTTTATGCCTAAAAAAGGACTTGACAAAGTGGTTTTCTCAAGTGTATAATGTAACACCCTAAATTTATTGGAATATTCATTTAATTTATTTAAATAAGAATATTCTCATTTTGGTAATTTTCAATGGTGGTTGTGAAATATTGAGAATTATGGATTTTAAGTTATTTATTTAAATAATAGTATATAATATGAATATATTGGTATTTACTATTAATTTAAATAAATATAAGTTAACTAAGGGCAAATTGGACAATTGAGGAGGAGTTAGTGAGGGTAATATTGAAAAACCCAATTTTAAGGCCCAATGTTAGGTTTAACAAAAAGGGAATTGTGATGGGATTAGGATTCATTTTGTTAGACCGTGAAAAGAATTGAGGCCAGAGCTCTGAGGAGGAGGTTTGAGGCAAAAGCTTCGAAAGGTTTTCTGAAAGATTTGAGAAGGCTTAGAGTCGGCAATTAAGGTATGGGGAGTATTGCCTTCATTGTTTTTATTGTGTAATTTTAATGTATTTAAGGCTGATTATGGGATAAAGGGAAATTGGCCTTCGTGGCCAAAATCTATTATTGAGATTTTAACCATATAGGGATTTATTTAGGTTAAAGAAAATTAGGCTTCTGTGGCCAAAGCTCTGATTTGACATTTGTCTAACCCTGTAGGGAAATTTGATAATGAGGAACTCTAATGATTGTGGTGTAGTTGTAAGGATTTATGGGATTTAAAGCGTGAATATGATACGGGATTGACCTAATAAGTAGTAGATTTTGTGCCTTTATCACCGTAAGACCTTAGGGATGATTTAGGGATGTTTTTGGGTTATTGGGGAAGTGAATCGTGGGACTTTTAGGTTGATTTTAGGTTCTGGTGCGTAACAGCGTTTTGTTGTCATCGCATGTTCGCACAATGAAGAATTCTCCGCACAACGAACGAAGCTCGTCCCAGACTCGCACTACAAAGAATCCTTCGCACAGCGAAGAAACTCGCCCCAGACTCGCACAACTAACTTGCTAGTGAACGTAGCAGAGTTTCGCAAATTCTGATTTTGTGTAGTGATGTTTTGATGTTGTGATTTCTTTGACGAATGAATATGAGTATGACTATGAATTCTATGTGATTTGTACATGATTATATGATGATTCCTATGGTGTAATGATTGATGAACTCTGATGATATTTCCATGAGTTTTGATGATTCTATGATGACATGATTTTTGATGATGATGATTTTGATGAATCATGATGCACCTATGATGTTATTATAAGGATGATTATTTACGTGTGCATCATGTATTCATGTGCATCCGAACTTCGGTTCAGGACCTTGATTTCTTTGGCTTCAATCCTATTGTGCGAATGTGAGGTATTTTGATGTGCTCCGGTTCTCGAGTAGAATCGATCCTATTGATGGGGATCTATGGAGGGTTGATGGCCCAATGTCCATTGAGCTGTGATGATTGGTACCACATGCATGAGTCTTGTTTTCATTTGCATTTATGAGATGATCTTGA